ATTCTAAAAATAATAATTCTCAAAGATTAATAACCAATGATAATATATGATAAAGATCTTTAAGAATAAGTACATCAACTTTAGACATAAATATAAATTAACCTATAAGAAGAAGTTTAAAACAGAGACCTTGTATTAGTAGAGGAATCCCTAAGCAATTATCTAGATCACAAAGTAAAAGACCTATAACTTCAAACTTAAGAACATTATTACCTAAAACACCAAAAGAAAATAATAATTATATATTGATAAAAGTAAAATAAGAATCTATATGAAATGAAATTATGACTTTAGTAGACTCAGAAATTGCAAAAAGTACAATTCAAATAAGTATAGCAGACAATAATTTGGAAATAACAAATAATGGAAATAAAACATTTGCTATGTTAGAATAAATAAAAGAAATGTTATGAATATAATATTATGGGTAATAGAAGATAATAATAATCAATGTATTCTATATATCATATACATATCCATCACACACACACACACACACACACACACACACACACACACAGATATATATAATCAACGATATAAATATGGCTAAAATAATATAAGCATTGAAGAAGAAGAAAGTGAATTAGAACAAAACGAATCACTACGATTAGGAGAATTAATGGAAATTGAAGAAAAAGAAAAACTTAAGGAATTAAAAAAAGAATATGAACACTTGATAAATAATAATTATAATAATATGCAAAATTCTCAATTAGTAATCTATGAACAACTTTATGGAATATAATGCCTCAAAACATTAACCCCCCAAATCTAGAAAGTCATGCTTATAATAATATAAATGTAGGGTCTAGTAGAATATCAAAAGAAAGACAAGATGAAAGAATGATGGAACCATATGAAAAAGAATAAAATTATCAAATTGAATTTAACAAAACATATAGTTGTAATAATATATCTTTTGAAGCAACTTTTAATATACCTAAAAATAATGAATTTATATCAATACCATTAGCACAATATGCAAATAGACAAATACCAAATTTAGGAATATGGTTAAACTTAAATTGTGATCTAAATAATGAAAGAGTAATAGAAGAATGGGCAAAAGTAACTTTAATATCTTTAATAGAAAAAAATATTGATATAAGGCACCTATGTTAATAGAAACAACATTTTTGGGAAATATAAAAAATTGGTAGATGAATAAAAAATTGGTGGATGAATAAACCTCAAGAATTAAGAAAAAAACTAAGAAAACCATATAGATCTTAGAATAATAGAAAAGAACTTTATTCTATTATTGTATCAAATTATGCAAAATCAATTAGAAATAAATTTGTAGGAATAAGTGAGGATATATATGAAATAAGTAAACAAAAAGATGCTATAAAAAAATTACATGAAATATAAATATGTTCATTAGAACTAAGATATTTAAAGGGAAAATCAGTTTAAGGTCCCATGAAAACACTTAAAATACATTGAGGTCCTATGAATTCAAGAAATAGCTGCCAGGTCCTTAGGGATCTAAGAGTGAATAAATCTAAAAATGAAATTACCCATTTGCCCTTTAGCATTGAAAAGAAGATTTTGTTTGCGCGCATGCGTCTCACGAAACTCATGATCAACAAAAGTGAAGGTTGCTGCATATCCATGATTGTTGATCATGGTGGCATCATCTTCACATCCTCATATCCATGATTACAACCCTTGTCTTCATCTAAGTGAGTTGGGAGTGTTTCTTCTGCAACAGTAGCTTTTCATCGACAGAAAATAAATTTTCTAGGTAAATGATTATGTAAATTACCGATTAACAATAGCATATCCATTATTAGCTAGGTAAACAATTTCTTATGCGTTAATGATTTCATTATTGTTTAAGCGTAGGATAATGCTTTCTCGGTAAACTTGTGATCATTCAGTTTGCATAACTAATATATGGAATAATCTGGCGCAACACTGATCCGTTGACAAATATCTGATATGGATATCTCAATATGTTGTCAATAATGTTTTGTTGTGTTGTCAATATAGTATGAATAGTTGTCAATACACTGTACTGTGCAGACTAACCAATAAGAATGTAAGCACTACTGGAAAACATGTATTATATTATGTTTTTTCATATAGGACATTTTATATATTATTCCTAAGTATATGAGGTAAGCTTATTTTGTTGAAAAATCTCTACTATTAAACAACATTGTGTCTTGTAATAGTAGATAAATGTGTTGTTAATACACCTTTTCTAGTTGTCAATACATTGTGTGTGGTGCAGATTAACCTGTAAGATTGCAAGTTCTTCTAGATAACATATATTATGTTTTTTTTCCATATAGGGGGCATTTTCAAAATGATGACCAAGGAAGTATGCAATATGTTGGAGGGAGTGTTAGAACAAGAACAATAAAAGAAGGGACAACATATGAAGAGTTGACAAGAATGATATCATCAATTATAGGGAATGAAAGCAATATAATCCAATTAAAATTAATAGTCAATGTTGATGCAAGCACACTTGTAGATCTAGTTGATAATGAGGGAGTAGAACATCTGATCAAGTATAACAAACAAAGTGGACATGTATATATAGTTGCAAATGGGATTGACACCATAGAAGCATCAACAGATTGCCCATTAGAGAACCAATATGTGAGTTGTGTAAATTTTTTTGTTAACGTAAATAATGTTGAAAAGTACAATTCTAATGTTGTCATTGAATGTAGGATTGATAATTTATTGAGAGTATCAGATGGGTGCTCTTTCTTTCCTCTAAGTATTTATCCTGAGATTGAAGACACGGAATTGGCATTCGCTGTACAAATGGTACCTACACCAATACCTGAAATGAATTCTATGAAATAGAAGGATTTGTTAGTAGGTAAAGGGTAGTTTTTTCCTAATGTTGATGCCTTTAGACAAGCATTATACAAGTATAGCATCTCCCATAAGTTTTAATACAAGTTTAAGAAGAATAACAAAGATAAGATCATTGCATATTGTAAGGTGGAGGGCTGTGAATGGAACATTGCAGCATATTTAATAGGGAAAGATAATGAAATTTTAAGGGTTATAAAATTCAACAATGATCACACCTAGAATGCGCAAGAAACCTTATTGTGTCACACTTGACAAGGTTAAAATTAACATCATAAATCATGGTTGATGCTTTAAGGTCTAATATAGACAAAGGTGCCAATAAACTTGTAAGAGACTTGTATAGAGAGTATGGTGTGCGATTAAGCTACAGTCAAGCCTATAGGGGAAAAGAAAAATCATTGTGGGAAATACATGGTCGTGCAGAAGATTCTTATAGCATAATCCCTTGGATTTGTGATCGATTAATAGAAACTGATTCGATGATAGTTGCGAAATGGAATGCCTCAAATAATAGATTTGAGAGGCTATTCATTGCTTATGGATGCTCTATATCCAGTTTTTTAGGAGGTTGCCAAGCCATGCTTTATGTAGATGGATGTCATTTAAGCAGTCCATATAAGGGAACAATGCTGTCAGCATGTACAAATGACGCTGATAATGACTTATTTCCGGTAGCATATGCTATTATTAGTGGGGAAACATTAGAAGATTGGTCTTGGTTTCTTTAAAATGTCAAAGACATAACAAGATCAGTGGAGTTAATAATTGTTTCTGATCAAAATAATGTGATTATTGGTGTCGTGCAAGCTATATTTGGTGGTGGTGAGAGACATGCATTTTGCTACCATCATGTGAAGAAAAATTTTCGCACAACATTTAAGAAAATCAATAAAGGTAAGAGGCATACCTCAAGAAACATGAAAGATAATGCGTTAAAATTGCTTGATGCAATTGCCTATGCAAGGCATGAGGTTAAATTTAATATTGCAATAGGGAATCTAAGAATGTTTTGTCCACAGTTGGCACAATGGGTTGGAACCCAAGGGGATGTAGGTTGATGGGCTCAATACAAGTTTGGATATAAATGATGGGATAACATCACAACTAATCTTGCAGAATCCTTTAATGCTTGGATTGTGAAAGAGAGAAAACACAATATTGATGTCTTGATACATAAGCATAGAGAGAAATTGGCAAAGAAGATGGTTGCTAGTAAAGCGGCTATAGGAAATTGGAAACACGGTGTCGAGCCTAATGTTGATATAAAAGTTATGGAGCAAGTTGTTAGAGCTAAAAATTTACATGCATAAACTTATGGAAAAAATTTGATCTCTGTGCAAACTATATCATTTAGTGGACTAATACGTTTGAATGTTGATCTTTCAGCACATACATGCTCTTGTTTGGCATGACAAATGAGTGGAATACCTTGTGCACATGCTTGTGTAGCATTCAAGCTAATTCATGGCAATGTGTACAATTTTATAGATGAATGTTACAAGTTTACTGCTCAAGAAAAGATATATGCCAACAACATGAAGCCGGTAGGCACACATGACTGTCTGCGTCTAGAAGCATTGATGGTGATAAATTTATTAACCCAAACCTTCTTGGAGCCACCAATGACAAGAAGGCCTCTAGGTAGGCCAAAGAGTAAAAGAAGGGAATCTCAATTCCAAAATAAAAAGGTTTATCATTATGGAAGATGCCATGAGATTAGTCATACCTCCAAGACTTGCAAGAATCCTAATCTATGCTAGAAAATATTACGAACAAGTGTATTTTTTTGTTTATATATCTAGAATTTGTTTTTTGTTTACTTTTTGGTTTATCACACCTTATCTGTTAGCACTTGTCAATAACAAATGCATAAATTATAAATAAAGTGGTACCTTGTAGTCAATGACTAATGGCAAGTAGTCAACAGGTTCTTGCACCTAATTGATTTTTGAAGGGATTAACAGCTCTAAGTGCGTCAGCACTTATCAATGAAGAATTATTACCTTGTCAATATAGTTATATCCACTTGTCAATAGGCAATGGTAAGTAGTCAACAGGTTCTTGCACCTGGTTGATTGTTCAAGGGAATAGCAATACCAAGTGCATCAGAACTTGTTAATGGAGAATAACTAGCGTGTATAACCACTTGTCAATCGCTAACGCCATGTAGTCAACAGCTTCTTATACCTGGTTGATTGTTCAAGGGAACAACAGCACCAAGCGCATCAGAACTTGTCAATGGAGAATAAGTAGCGTGTCAACATAATTATAACTACTTGTTAATCGCCAGCACCAAGTAGTCAACAGGTTCTTTTAACTGGCTGATTTCTAAAGGGAACGATAGCACTTACTAACTTAGCACTTGTCAATGGCAAATTAGTATCTTGTCAATATAGTTATTACTACTTGTTAATCGTCAATGTCAAGTAGTCAATGGGTTCCTTTAACTGGCTGATTTTTGAATTGAATGACAGCACCTAGCACCTTAACACTTGTTAATGGTGAATTATTACCTTATCAATATACTTATACACACTTGTCAATAAAGTGATAATCATTTGTTGACATTTAATTAATAAAATAATTATTAGCCATATTTACAAACTTGTAATTAGCATTCATAAACATCATTGTATAAGTTAACTATACAAAATGGGCTAACTATACAAAATTATATGATTATCAATAAAATTACGTCCTAAAGTTCTATAAAAAATCTTCTATTTCCTCTTCCTCGTTGTTTAGGATCCTTCTAATAAGGACATAGCTTCAGGCTCCTTCACGTTGTTATGATGACTCAGTAACTACCACAAGAGTTTGACCTTCTTCTTATAGAGATCATCCTGCACCACAAATAAGTCTTATAAGGGACAACAACAAATATGTAGTATATGAAAAAGTAAAAATGTAAAGTGAAGAATGCATACGTGGGAGTATTTTGGCATCATATATCCATTCTTATTCGCAATATTGTCCCACGATTGTAACCATGTCATGACATGCACCCCACAAGTATGGTTAAAAACAAATAAAAAAACATAATGTAAAATTCATTTTTCACATGTAAATATAAGCTTAATAATATATAAACATAAAAGAAACTTACGTATCAATTTGCACATGAACTTTAGCCCATATAATGTCCGTGCTAACGTCATCCTCAAACAATTGTGGCTCAATTGCACAAAGTAGAGAGTAAAAGCAATTCCTCTGTAAAGTCAAGACTTGCAATGTTAGCAATGTTGATTTACAACTAGGCAATAAGACAATGACAAATATAGATGTTAGTAATATTCAGTGACAAGTAGGGACATACGCATCCTCTTGCCATCATTTCTTTGGGATCTAATTGTCCTTTCTTCTTCTTCTTCTTCTTCTCCTCCTCCTCCTCCTTTTCCTTGCCCTTCTTCTCAACATTCTCTTCTTCTTCCTCTTATTGCTATCTTTGAAAATACTCCTTATTACTGACCAATGAATCTAAAACATAGAAGTTCATGGTCTTTATCTCGAAGACAAAGTAAAACCAGTGACTATGGAAAAGAGTTGGGCTAAAAATGAATTCATAATCAGCAATGTTATATCTAACAAACTCAGGAAAGATTTCTCCCTTGTTGTCATCAACTGTTCATTTCAAAGGGTTGCTGATCATTTTTAGCATGAACTCAAAACTAAAAATATGTCTCCAGACTTTCCCTTCATTTTCCTTTTAGTCACCTGCCAAAGTTTGGGCAACCATTGACATCACCCTGTCACTAATCCATCTTTTTCCACCAAAACATTGTAGCTCTGCACGAGTCAAGTAGTAGCCATACAAATCTATAATGATCCTATTGAAGAAAAAAGAAAAAATGAATAGATTGTCAATAATATTTTAGTCAGTCAATTTTTAGGCACAGTATAAAGACGTACTTGTCTCCCTCATCTTCCTCACATGGTGTTGTGCATATTTCAAATAATCGCTCCTTGTCATCCATTTTTCTCTTCTTTCCAACATTAGTTCTGACCCATGGAGATTTCACAGCAGGTCTTTTATCTCTTTTTGATCTTCTAAGATGTTTACTTGATTGTTCTTCTCCTTTCCCTCCCTCATCCTCATCAGAATCTTTCCCTCCTACAACTTCCTCCTTATCCTCTTCCTCTTCTGAATTGTCATTGTCGCCCTTTTCTTTAAGAGAATCTTGCTGTTCATTATCCTTTTCTTTATCTTCTTCCCCTTCTAATTTTTCTTCTTCATTCTCTTCCTTTTTTAATTTTTCATCTCCATTTCCCTCCTTAAAACCTTTTCGTTTAGCTCCTTCTTCATTATGTTCTTCCTCTTCAAATTTGTCATCTTCATTTTTTCCCTCAAAAGTTGTCCCCTCATCAACAAGTTCTTTATCTCCTTCCTCTTCTGTTTTGTCATCTTCATTCTTTCTCTCAGAATCTATCCCTTCATCATCATCTTCCTCCTCTTGTGATTTTTCACCTTCATCCTCCCTTGACCCTTATCCAAGTAGCATTAATTGCAAGCTCATTAGTTCCTCTCCAATGTTAGAGACAAACAACAATGCTTTTTCGTATAGCCTCTTTACTTCCTGCAAGACAATTTTTGACTTAATGCATAAACAAGACCATATATATTTGTCTATTGTACTCCATTTTATACATATCGGTGAACAAATGCCGATTCTTGATATACTTTGGTAGATGAACTACCATTTACAGTAGTTGGCTCATGCAAGATGCCTCAGTTGCTCTTTTTCTCAAACTTTACTCTTGCATTCACTTTATCATCGTCCCAATATTTCAGAGCATCTATGGCTTTTGGACAACCTTTGCCAATTGGAAAATTTTGGAAGCCCATACCTAAAACCTTGACAAATCATTATAAACATAAAAATTTTACATGAAAAACTTTGAAAGGCTACCATTTTGGATTAATGTAAATTAAACACACACTTACCATTAGAAAGTAGATATATCCCCCAACATTCTTCCTTGTCCTTCCTTTTCCTTTGCTCAACTATTTCTTGTAGTCTGCTACCTCCTTGCAAAGTTCATTAAAAATGAACGTAGCCCAATCATATGCGCTTGGTTTCTTTTGTGTCTCATAAATGACCTTCAATATACGGTCGCTAACCTCAAGACTTACAGTCGGCAATAGTAAGGTTCCCAATGCATACATTGCAAAAAGTAACTCAAATTTAGTTGCCTTCTTTCTAGATATAATCATTTCAGCTATTTTCTTATAAGGCATTTTATAGTAAGTATTTCTCAAATTTTTGAAACCTCTTTCATTCACATTGACGTCCCCAGTAATCTACTTACCATTACTACTTAAGCCCATCAAGTCATTCACATCCTTGGCCTTTATTTTCTTGATTTTCCCCCTTATGCATATTTCATGAGTTGGGGTGTCAAAGGCACGCATCAACTCTCCACAAATATCTCTTTGAATTTTTTTACAAGAAACATCAAGAAGTATATGGAATCCTAACTTCTCAACCCTCTTTTGTAATTTCTCATTTTTCTTAATATACTTTGCCACTTCACTAAATTGGCTTGGAAAGCAACGCATATGAAATGGTGCGGTATATCACTTTACTATTGTTTTTGTTTTCTCTTCCATTTTCCTTTATCTGAAAAAAATAGAAAATTTCAATTAGATATGTTGAAAAGAGATTTTTGCATACCAGCCATTAATACTAAGTTCCAACTCAGAGATTTCTACACTGACATTGTTTATTAATATCCATAAGGAAGAAGAAAACACAAGTCACAGAGGAAAATAATTCACTAGTCAATAGAGTATACTGTTGTTGTCAATGGAGTTTATGATTGTAGTCATTGGAGTAATTAGTTGTCATCTATGGAATAAAACACAAGTCATAGAGGAAAATGGTTCACTAGTCAATAGAGCATACTGTTGTTGTCAATGGAGTTTATAGTTATAGTCATTGGAGTAATTAGTTGTATCCATGGAATAAAACACAAGTCACAAAAGAAAATGGTTCACTAGTCAATAGAGCATATTGTTGTTGTCAATGGAGTTTATGGTTGTAGTCATTGGAGTAATTAGTTGTCATTCATGGAATAAATAGTTTTTGTCAATAGAGCATACGGTTGTGGTCAATAAAGAAAGAAGCTGTCGTCAATAGAGAAATTCATACATATTTAAAATTATAGATTTTTAAGCACAGTTGAGAATTCTGCCATCAACACACCAACATCTTGATAAGGAAAACCATGATCTGGGGGTTCAATGAGTTAATTATCCAATAAAGCATCATTTTGGGAGTTCAATGAGTTAGTTATACACTTTGAAATTTGCATGTCATCTGTGAATAAGAAAAAAGCTTTTTTGAATATATCTGAAAGCTCAACATTTATAAAATATAGAGCTAATGTTTAGGACATACTTGGAAAAAACATTTATGAAAGCTAAAATTATAGTTTTGATAGAAACCATGGATTTGAGAGCTCAAAATCTATAAAGTACAAAATTATAGTTTTGACAGTTCAAAACTTTTGATTCTTTGACAGCTTCTATGATCTGTTAAGGCCATGTATTTGGTTTCAGCAAATATACTGCACTAGCCTCATGTGATTGCCAAACATAACAAAGAACAACATATAGATAGAAGCTAGCTAGGCAAAGTGTGTATGATAAAATGAAATCTTACACTTAGGATGTGGCATACAGGACTTCATTCTTAGAGTTTAGACCCTCATTTTGTTGTATTAAATCTAGTATTCCTCGTCTAACCCATCTTCTTCTCATCATTATGTGGTGTTGGATTATTGAGCTTAAATACCTTTTCTATTCCTACGGCTCATTACAAGAATTAATTTAGATGATTTCAAAGCATTGTTGATCATGGTGATGTTTTCAAATCAAATATACATTATGGAGGCAATCAGATTTCCAACGGACAAAAGTCCCAAATCCATACAAATGACATATCAAAGATAGGGTTTAGTTAATAAAAATTTACCTTAGGGCCGAAACTAGTTGAATACTCAAACTCAAAGGCCAAATGGAGGCAATGTGACTTAGAGAAGGGTGGTCGTCAATGAACATTGGGAGAGGCGAGAAAGGCAAACAGAGATCCTGTCTGCCATGGGGTTGAGCTTTCAGTGGGTTACCTTAGGGGCCAAAACTAGTTGAATACTCAAACTCAAAGGCTAAATGGAGGCAATGTGACTCAGAGAAGGGTGGTCGTCAATGAACTTTGGGAGAGGCGAGTAGAGATCTCGTCTACCGGGGGTTTGAGCTTTTAGTGGGTTAGTGGGAATCACTATCACAGTTAAGCTATTGACTAACAAAGCAGGACACACAAGACGAATGAAATGCAACAATGAGAACGGTGATTGATGATTAACTGTGGAAGACGTGAGAATGAGGAACAGAGAAACTGTTCGCCCTGGGTTCGTGCTTTCATGGGTTAGTGGGAAATAAAGTAATTTTTGAGTATTTCAAATAATGGGCAAACTGGTAATTTCCTTTTCAAACTTATTCACTCTTAGTTCCCTAGGGAACTGGCAGCTATTTCTTGAATTCATGAGACCTCAGCGTATTTTAAATGCTTCCATCAGACCTTATATTGATTTTCCCATATTTAAATGCCTTTATTTGTGAATACAAAAATTAGTATTATGAAGCAATATTAGGAGACTTACAAGAAGAAATATTTTATTTAGATATATTTTATAGAAAATTACCACCTTTAATATCAGAAATAATAAAAGATGATTATTATAAAACGTATAAATTAACATCATTGGTAGAAGAAATAATAGATGATATAAAAAAAGGACCAATAAATGTCTTAAATAAAGTAGATATAATGAGAAGAAGAGATCAGAGAATTTTGAATCTCATATTACAATAAAAGACTTGGAATTATAAACCAAGAAAATTTTTTAAAAGAAAAGAAAAAAAGAATAAATTATAATAAAAGATCTAAAAAATGTAAATATTATAATTGTGGAGAATTAGGACATATATCACTAAATTGTCCAAAAAAATAAGACAATTATAAAAATATTAGAACAAGCTTATAAAGAAGATTTAAAACTCATAGGATATGATGAAGAATTATTTGAAATAGAAAATGAATTAGAAAAATATGATATAGAAATTTATAAATTAAAAATAATATAGTGAAACTAAAACAGAAAATATTGAAACAGATGAAAATTGTTATATATATATGATAAATAGAATAGAAGATGAACCCGAGAGTAATAATCAAAATGAATATGAAGATTATGAAGAAGTTATAAGTACAGAAGAAGGAATGGTTCAAAAAAGAATGACTTTTAATCAAAAAAGATATGAAAAAAATAAGAGATATAAAATTAAATCTAAAACCTGAAGAATTAAAAAATAAAAGTTTTATGAATAAAGTAAGAAAGCTTATAAAATCTTTTCACTTAATTACAAAATTTTTTAATTGAAGATAAAAACTAACCCTAATGATTACAAGAGACAAACCTACTTTTAACTTAATTACAAAAGATAAAGTAATAATTACAAAAGACAGAATTACTTTGGACTATTTTTCTTTTTGTCTTCCACTTTGTCTGCCATCTTCTTTTGTCTTCATAATAGGCTAGCTACTTTTGTCTTGTTAGCTACTTTTCTACTATCTTTTCATTGTCTTTACATGTCGGTAGGGTTAATCTAGAATATTCATATTGGCAGAAGGGTCTTTATAGTCTTTCTTAAATTGTCTTCTTTCTTCACAATATTTGCACTTATGATTTACATATTCTGAGAGTACTTAACATATTTTCTTTTTATTCCCTTCATATTTTCCATTTGATTATTTTTTATTCTTTCATACCATTGGCTAAAGTTCCTTGAGTTTCTGCTATTTTTTCCTACTGAGTAGATACAAGTAGTAGGCCCCATGAAATATGTCCACTGGGCTTTATCAGCAATTATTGTCCTGTTTAGTTCTCGATAAATAATGTTGAATTCTTGAGCTTTGATTATTGAGATTTTATGCTGGAGTCTTCATTATTAATAATGCCCTCTTCTTCTTCTTCTTCTTCATACTCAAAAGGTCTTCTTATTGTGCCAAATTTAATCAGATTAATTGGAAGATAAAATTTATCTGGAGTTATTTCCACTATTATTGAGTAACACCAAATGTAAACTCGATATTATATTACAATTTCAAAATAATATTTGGTAGCTTCTTAGACTGGAGTTGGGAGTTTGGATATTTTTGACATATCATTAGATGGATATAAAGAGTGTATAAGGCTATAATTAAAGAGAGTCTTTACAAGTTTTGGGTTTGTTCTTGAATATACAATAACTTTGTTGAAGGAATAATAAGAAAGATATTTGATATTGTTAGTTCTTGGAAGGAGAAAATGATTGGTTTTATTGATAAGAAGTTTAAGGAAATTATGCTGGTTTATAATTTTAAAGGAAGGTGAGGTTACTAGACTTGAACTTCTTCTCCTAGAAGAGGTAGAAGTAGAAGGACT